ATTTCATGTGATTCACAACTTTTAAATTACACATTTCATTAATTTTTATAAAAATGTATTAAAAATTTGATTTTAATTTCTGTCAAACAGGAGTTATAAAGAGAAACAACAAGTTTATATCAAAATTTATACTTGAATTTAAATATTTAGAAACAACAAGTTTATATCAAAATTTATACTTGAATTTAAATATTTTATACCAAGACTTTGATAACCCATTTTTATCCTATCTAAAATTTTAATTTTGTAGTATAAATTGAATTAATTATGCAAAAGGGACACGAGGGAGATTTGTGGAGAATAGACAAACCCCCCGAAAATAGAGGAAGTTTAACATCTTTTATTCCAAAACTCCCAAAATCGTACAGTCTTCCAATCTATACATACACAATCATGTATTGGTAATAGCGGAAAGTTACAGGTCACTTATTATTATTGAAAAATAAAAATAAAGAAATGTGACAGTATAACCCTATAAAAGGCATGCCTATATATCTAGTGAGAGAGAGCAATTTTCCTTCTCTCTATTCCATTACACATATAACATACATTCTATGTACATGTATATCTGGTATTTACTTCTATGATTTGATTGATTTTTCGCTGTTAGGGTTCAACTATGATGTGCGGATTAATCGATTTGAACACAGTGAACAATGAAGCTGAAACGGATTTTTTATATAATTCACCAGAATTGACGATGAAGTCATCGGAGACGGCGGCCTCTGTAAGTATGGAGCTATGGCACGCTTGCGCTGGGCCTTTGATTTCGCTTCCTAAAAAGGGTACCGCCGTGGTGTACTTTCCTCAAGGCCACTTGGAGCTCCTTTCCGAGCATCAAGCTGCGGCCTATGATTTACCTCCCCATGTCTTCTGTCGCGTTGTAGACGTTAAACTCCGTGTAAGCATTGTGGGATTCTGTTTCCTTTATGGATTTATATTGCGGACGTTTGAAAGTAATGAGAGTTTCTTGTGTAATTTGGGAATAGGCCGAGGCAAATAATGATGAGGTTTATGCGCAGATTTCTCTGGTTATGGACAATCAGGTGAGGCTATATATACACGACAACGTGTATGAGTTTATTGTTTGGTCATATAGTTTGCGTAGTTTTATAATTCAGCGTAAATATCTCTTGTTTATTGAAAACTGACAACTTTTGAATACTAACTCTGACGATCCGAATAAATGGTTTTCCTCTACCATTATGTGCCATGGAAAAATTTCGCTCTTCAAGAATCATTGATAAGTAAATCCTTATCTATACAGGCATTTTACTCTCCTTCTGGTATCTAAAAGAAGCTACTTTTCTTGCTAGAGCAAAAATTATGATCCGGGGAATTCTGACTCAATGTGGTGTTTATATGTGTTATATGGTAACCTAAGAAACTTTTATACTTTTAATAATCATAAAGAATTTCGGTGGTTATTCTGTCTAGCTGAAATATTTCTTCCTTAGGAAAGCATCCCTTTTAATTTCAGTATGGTCTCTGCTTTGTACATGGTCCATTACTTCGAAGAAATGACATATGACGTTTCTTAGAAAGTTATGAATTTGGGCAGATTGAGAAGAAATGAAGGGAAGGGGAAGTTGAAGCAGATGCTGAAGATGAAGACACCGAAGGTGCTAGGACATCAATGATACCTCACGTGTTCTGTAAAACTCTCACTGCTTCTGATACCAGCACTCATGGTGGTTTCTCTGTTCCTCGTCGGGCAGCCGAGGATTGCTTCTCTCCCCTGGTAAATAAAATTACGTTTGACTTCCTACTTTAATTTAAAAGTCATCAACTGTTTGATGTTGTATAATTAGATTAGAGTCATTTGTTCATCTTGTTTTGCTATAGAGATGAACTAATTATACTTTGATTTTAGGACTATAAACAACAGAGGCCTTCACAGGAGCTTGTTGCTAAGGATCTACACGGGATTGAATGGCAATTTAGGCATATCTATAGAGGTATGAACTTTGGTATCTCTATATCTATACTGGGTTTGAATATATGGAATTAATGTGCAAAATTTCATTTTATTCTATTTTTGTGAATTTGTTATTTGTTAACAAATTCTGGAGCAGGCCAGCCTCGAAGGCATTTGCTCACTACTGGTTGGAGTGCATTTGTTAATAAAAAGAAGCTTGCATCTGAAGATGCAGTGCTCTTTTTAAGGTATGAAATGCTGAATTACAGAAGTGTTTAGTTATATTTATTTTCTTATATATTGGCATCCATTGCAGGGGTGGTGATGGAGAACTCAGGCTAGGGATCCGAAGAGCATCCCAAGTTAAAAGTGGTGCTTCAATTCCATCTTTCCTTGACCAACAATTAAGTGCTAGCAGCATTGCTAGTGTACTGAATGCCATATCTACGCGAAGTATTTTTAACATTTGTTATAATCCAAGGTATCATAATGAACCTAAATATTATCAGAAATTCGTATTTTGTTCCACAAGATGGTTACTACCTGGAAAGTAATAAAATGAATTTGTATAAATTTTTAAGAGATTGAAATGGGATGCACCTAACTGTGTTCAACCTGGTGTGGCGTCATTCTGATACATCAGCTTAAGTGTTGATTTTAGTTCTCTTTCTTTACTGGTAATGCAAAAATATCCGGCAAAGGGACCGCTTCATGATACTGACTGTGAAGCATGTTTGTTTTGCAATGCTGATGAAATCTTGTTATGTGATGTTTTTTATTTATCCTATCCTTCTTGTGCTGTGTTGTTCAAATTTTCTTTTTGATATATATTTTATGTTGGATACTAGTAATACTAGAGATATGCCAAAGATTCATTTGGTTCACCTGGATATTTCTTTCTAGAACTTCAGCATGTTTTGATATTTGTGATAGTAATCTATTGGCATCTCTTAGTTTACTTTAGAGCGTGTGATATTGATATTTCTCAGCTGTGTCTAGTACTTTGTTATTCAGTCCTATTCCAGCTATTGCACTGTGGTTTCCAAGTTTCATCAGATATAAGTCTGCAGGGGTAATTCGTCCGAGATTATTGTACCTTATCATAAATTCACAAAGAGTGTTGCACGATATTCTTCTTCTGGAATGAGGTTCAAGATGCGTGTTGAAACAGAA